ATACATAGGTGCGGGTGTGCCTGCAGGAGTGGCAGTGCTGGTGGAGGGCCCGGGGACCAGCAACATTTTCTCAAGGACCACTAGTTGGTGACCACTGCAGTAAGGAGTGCAGCAAGACACATCTTCATTGTCCTGTCTTGTTGATCACACTGCTTCCCAGTCTCCATCCCAAAATCATTGCTGTGGTCCTGGGTCCCCCAGAAGAGCAGGGGGCTCGAACAAGACAAGCCAGCAGATCACTTGTACAAAATGAGCAGAGGCCACTCCGAAATCGCTCCCATGATGGACTACAATCTCAATACAAATTAGTAAATTAAACATGAGATTGTAATCCGTCACAGGAGTGAGCTTGTAGTGGTGGTGAGCTATTGTTTCTGGTACAAATGAAAATGTTCACATTTCATTTATTTAGTCAGAGGTTACACTGGAAAGAATGGATACATTTTTTTTTGTATAAATACATTTAAAAAGGCTAAAAAGATCAGGGATGGTCACATCTAATGACATTTGAAAATTAGTCACGTGGTTAAAGGAGCGTTTTATCATTGTGTTTAATGTTAAGGAAAGTGTAACACAGTTTTATCTGAATTTGGGAAAAAACATTTATTTAAGAGTAATTCCACCTTTTTTATTTATTTTTTTATAAAGTTTACACTCATATTTTGAGAAAGGACAGGCAAACCAACTTTGTCAACTTATTTTATTGTGGATTTTGTTTCATGGTGCTTAAACAGTAGAAACAATATAATGCTTTCAATGTCGATGTGAGCATTTCACTGTTAAGTCACTTAACTTAAGTGCATACATTTGGAGCCAGCCCCCATGTAATCAAGGAAAATGTTAACACTTGACAAAGTTTGTGCAGACTTTCCAAAAAACAAAATAGTTAATAACTAGGTATTCTCCCACATTTCATCAATGATGCATCTAGACCAGGTGGGATTTATACCCCAGAGAGGCACGGGCCCAGAGAGAGGAGCGGGAGGCTATTCGGGCTGGATTCCCATTCAGGTGGAGGCAGCAGGGCATTAAAAATCTTGGGGTGCATATGGCGCTACGAGAATCGGACGTTTACGAATTGAACTATGTGCAATTATTGGTGGAGATGCAGGATCGATTAAATAGTTGGGGCCCGAAAATTCATTCGTAGATGGGAGGGATGGAGTTGATTTAAAATGGATATCTTACCAATCTATTTCAGACTATTCCGATTAAAATTCCAAGATTTTATATTGAAATATTTTGGTTCATATAATCAAATGTGTGGGGATCTACTTCACCACGATTAAAGGTTGATCAAGGGGCCTCTACCTCCATTGGTTAGGATATTAATGAAAATGTGGGACAGGACAATAAAACTATATAATATATCAGACTGAGGGACCTCTCTCCCCTATATTAAGTAATCCAGATTTCCTGGCAAGGTTGGCTTTTTAAAAATGGACCGCTATGGAACCATAAATATCATATCACTAACTGGTTTTAAAAAAAACATGACATACAATGATAAATCTTCAGGTATGCAGATCTGTTTGTATAATGTGCTCTCATTCATATATGCTAATCAGCTGACACCAAAGGATAATACGTTTCATATAACGTATTATCCTTTGGTGTCCGCTGGTATCTGAAATACACGTATTAATCTCCAGTGGGAAAAACAAGGCAGTTACATAGTAGCACCTTCTTAAAAAATCAGTTTCTTTCCCACATGGTTTCAGCTGATTAGCATATATGAATGAGAGCACATTATACAAACAGATCTGCATACCTGAAGATTTATAATTGTATGTCATGCTTTTTTGTTTTTTTTTAAAACCAGTTAGTGATTTGATTATGTCCAAAACTGATATTAATACTTGTTCCGATCCTCTGTTAACCCTTTTTAAACCAGCCACTCTTGTTAGCTGGTTTATCTTTTTTGTATATATGGTGCTGCAGTACTAACCTGCTGTGTCGTCTTCTCCGTCTGCTTCAGCCACTCCGTGTCACAGCCTTGTCGTCTGATCCATTCTGACCTCTTCTCCCGCTGATTGGCCGATTTGGATGATGACAGGCTTCCTCACCAGTCACTCCTGACTGGTGAGGAAGCCTGTCAATCATCCAATCGGCCAATCAGCGGGAGAAGAGGTCAGAATGGAGCAGAGGGCTGAGCACTTGGGGGAGGAGTTCACCGCCATCTTGTTTCGTTGAAGGCGCTATGGAGGTCCTGTGTGCTGCGGTTTCGGGTCCTTGAAGATGGCGGACGCGGCACAGGTACTCGTTTTTTGTATCGGAGTATTTGCACAAGTACTCATGCAAATACTCGGTATCGCCGCCGATGCTTGTATCGGTATTGGAGCATCCCTACTCAAATGAGTAGGTGAGCATACACCTCAAATTAAAGATTGGGTCAAAGAAATTAATTTTTTTAAAAGGGTTGAAGATTTAGTAGTGCGATCCCAGGACAGGCTGCTGGTTGTCACACTTCCCTGTGCAGGATTTGCCCTCAATTTATGGTGACATGGAAACCATGGATAGTCTGACATCACTACCATGTGCTTACCAGGAATGTGAGGCTCGGTTGCATGTCCATTGCAGGAGGGGAGAGGAATGAGGGAAGGAGGAGATGAGACTGTGACTTTTTTTTTTTTGTCTTTTCTCTTTTTTTTCTTTCCAATTCATCTGGTTTGTTTTTTTTTGGGGGGCAGTTTAGGGATGGGAGGGATTTTGGGTTGTCGCTTTCCTTGTTTTTTTTTTAGTTGAGACCCATGGGGGGGAAGAATGGTTTTCATACCAATGGGAAGGGAAATTTATGGTGGCTGTTTTAGGAAGAGGTCATGAATATCTTTCTCTTCTGTGTCTGATTGGATTTCTCCCTGGAAGAGTCTTAACAGGATGTTTTATATGTTTGTATTGTTATATATAGAAACAATAAAGAAATATTATATAAAAAAGGTATTCTTAGGCAATTCATAATCACAAACGTGTAAAATACTGGCTTGCAAGGGTGAAAACTCGCATGCAATTTCATATGTTATGAAGTAAAAAAAATGTTAACGTCTTTTTCTCTTAACTTTTGCTTTTGCAGCTTCAAGACAAAGCTACCGTGCTTACCACTGAACGTAAGAAGGTAAGATAGGAGATTTAGATTTTTTCTAAAGATCTAAGTGGAATGCAGAAAATATTGCAGAGTTGCAGAATGCAGTGTAATCTCTCCTAATTTCTAAAAATTAGTTGTACTTTTTATCCTTTTTCTGCCTTGTTATTGTAGATGTTAACCCTAACTGACATTTAGTTTGCTACAGCACTGTGTATCATAAAAATGTACTTGCGTCATCCATAAAGGGAAACAGCATTTTATAACCATGAACTGTGTATTAAACTGCCACCTGCAGAAGACTGGACACTAGGCCCAAAAAACTTAGTACATTTCCACCTTTGCAAGTGATGCACATTTATTGTGCTAAGGAAGAGGTGCAGTGATGATGTATACATGTGCACATTTCCATGACTTACATTTTAGGTGTTCCTTTTTAATTAACCTTTTATTCGTCCTTAAGCCTCAGAATTTAAAATTTTCTGCACAGGAAAATCAGTCAGACACCAGGGTCGGATGGAAATTAAGCTTTAAACAGCTCTTCCCCTCCCTATTATTATTCATTGTAACATGATCAGCAAACAGCAGCTTTGCATTTACAGACAATACACTGTCGGGGGGGGGGGGAGGGCTGCCACTCTGAATGCTAATGAATGGGAGAGGTGAGAAGGAGCTTGAAAAAAAACACAGGCAGACATTTTTACATGCGATGAACAGGAAAGCTAACAAAAAATATGTTTGGGTTTTTACACAGCACCTGCATATGCCTGTTTCATGTACACTCGGTGCACATTGCTGTCATATTTAAAAAAAATATATTTGCAAAGGTGAAAATGGTCTTTAAGACCTGCCACTAGGGGCTATAACCCATCCCTTAACCATCCTGCTCAGTTTTGCCTGTTATTCTCCAGGAGGTTAGATGTCTTTTCTTCAGCTTTGCTGTTCCAAGACTTTGCAAAGCGCTGAATTGCCTCTTAAATCAACAGCTGCTGGTTGTCACACTTCCTGTGCAGGATTTGCCCTCTATCTGAGGTGCCCAGCTTCAAGCCAATCTGCTCTCATCCTCTGTGTTAAAAGGCTAGTGCACCTGTTGTTCAGTGTTTAAACAAAAGTGTTGGTATGCTAGCTGCCAGACCCTTTGTCTTTTGACGTTTTACCCTACTTCCTGAGAATCCCTGTGAACCACTGTTTAACCACCTGTATTGCTGATTCCAGTGTTCCTTGAAACTGTGTTCCTAGAGCTGCATTCAATTTCCCCTGAGCTATGAGTGAGCTGTACTTCCTGCACTTGCACTGCTTGTGAGTACCTACTATCCAGTCCTGTGTGTCTGCGGTGTGTATCCTGATCAGCCGGGATGTTAGACTTCCTTCTGCGTTCCTCAACCACAGTGCAACAGTTTTCCTGTACCTTCATTTTAAATCAAACTTCTCCCCTGTCTGCTACTGTATCCAGATAATGCCCATGCTGCAGCTGTATCCCTTTGCTTCCTTGCAGGTGTTTTAGAGGCCCACAACCTGGGAGCTGTCCTGCAGCAAAATCCATCTCTCCTTGGGGGGGGTCTGGATGGGTGGGTATGGTGAATACCTGGCGCTCCTTAGACTCTTCACGTTTGGTGTTGAGTGTGGTAGAGGAGCAGTCACTCTATCCCTAACCTCGCTTGGTCTTGAGCCACTGGTATCACTTAGTTTTCTGCCAGTGCCCAGCTTCCCTTAAACCCCCGGAGCCAACATTTCTAGTGAATACAGTACCCCAACATGACACTGATGCAGGGCCGGTGTTCGAGCTGTGCGGCCGCACAGAGCGCTATGGCAGCAGGGGCACAAGGCAGCCGACACAGCTCAACCTCGGATCGGCACAGCCTGCAATATCTGCTCTCCTCACCGCTAGGCCATCCGACATGACAGCGCTCCCTCCTCAGCTGATCACTCCAGTGTTTGTAAATAACTGGGGACACAGAGTACTATGTATCCCCAGTTATGAATGAACAAGAACTGCTTTATTATCACTTCCTGTTCATTCATGACTTTTTTTTGAATGCGGAGAAGCACTCGCTTTAGAGGCTTCTACCCATTCATAATCTGGTGATAAAAAATATTTTCTGCCTCTGTACTGAGTGATTTCCATTAATTTAGAACAGAGACTAGGAAAAGAGATTGAGGACTCTGTCCTCAATTTCTTTTACCATTTTAAAAGGGAAATTTCAGGACCGAATACACTTTTCGTATATTTGTGCATACAGTAATTTAACATGTAGTCTAGGTTTTGTGTTCTGTTTTACTCTTACTCAGCTCACTTTTCTAGATGCACTTCAAAAAAGGGTCTGCATGACATCCTGACACTTTAATTTTATAGACTCTCTATTTTAGTTTGACATTTATTGTTTACCACTAATTTGCCTACTGTTGTTTTATGTAATAAGAATATGTATATTGTGCTTAGAAGTTTAGTACCTTTTAAATCAGTTTTATTTTTATCATACTTTTTAATGTTTCTTTCGGGGCTTAACAAAATGGGAGGCTTTAAATGGTGCTGGTATTGGAGAAATGGGTGTGGCCACTGAGGGGTATGGTTACTGAGAGGTGTGGTCACTGAGAGGTGTGGTCACTTAGGGGCACTGTAAAGCTTTCTTGCGCACGGCACCCAAAGGCCGGCCCTGCACTGGGGAACTCTCTCCATTCAAACACAGAGCGCAGCGTTTTGCAAATTATTTAACCACCTCGGCTGGCCGTTGTAAAAAAAAGTCTCTAGATCTGAGCGGGCGTCGGGAAATGGCCGGTATTTAAAAACAGGCACCGATGCCTGTTACCATACAAGCGATCCGCCGGCTGTAGAGCCGGCGGATCGCGTGTATGGTGTGCCGAACGGTCCCCCCCACTTGGAGACCCCTGATGTCTCCATAAAGAGGACCCGTCACATAATTTGCTATCACATAGGGGAGTTTAATTAGCCCCCATATGTATTACCATTTTTCGATTATGCAGCGCCAACACAATGGTAAATTTAGTGATTAATTATATAACGTGAACAAACACCATTAATTATATAATGTGAATAAGTGTTATTCAGTGAAACTAAATCAAATACATGTGAAACTGTGTCCACTTTTGAAAAAAAATAAAATAGAGTGAAAGAGTCCAACGAGTGTTGTGTATTTCTTTTTTTCAAACACGTGAATAACAAAAAAGTGTTTCAAGCATGAGCAGGTTCTGAATTCAGGAAACAGTTCCGTGATGTTTGTTTGGGGATGCCGGCAAATGCCGTGTAAATCCCCTCAGGGTATATACTCACCACAATGTAGTGGCTGTGGTAAGCAGCCTGAAGAGCTTTTAGAGAAATGAATTCTCCTGAAGTTGTGGTGTCCCCGCTGCAACTCTTGACGGTCTGTGACCGGTAAACCCTGAGGACGTCGATAAGACGAAACGCGTCGGAGCGGGCCTAACCTCACGCTACACCACGCTACAATTTCTTTAAATTTTTTTTTTTCGGCCTTTGCCTGTGGATTTCGTTGTTTTAGTCTTATTTGATTCGAATAAAATCCTTTTGAAACTTCTACACTATGAGAGGTCTTTTTTCTTGTATGATCCCGAAGATAAACCATTTACTGGTCACAGACCGTCGAGAGTTGCAGCGGGGACACCACAACTTCAGGATAATTAATTTCTCTAAAAGCTCTTCAGGCTGCTTACCACAGCCACTACATTGTGGTGTGTATATACCCTGAGGAACTCACAACCTGCTCATGCTTGGAACACTTTTTTGTTATTCACGTGTTTGAAAAAAAGAAATACACAACACTGGTTGGACTCTTTCACTCTGTATTTTTTATTTTTATTTTTTTTTTAAATTTTATTTCAATTTTTTCAAAAGTGGACACAGTTTCACATGTATTTGATTTAGTTTCACTGAATAACACTTATTCACATTATATAATTAATGGTGTTTGTTCACGTTATATAATTACTAATTTACCATTGTGTTGGCGGTGCATAATCGAAAAATGTTTATGCTTTGACCCGTGTGGTCTTTTTTTGCTGCAGCCTTCATATCCATTTATTTATCACGATGCACATTACATTGTACAGTCACTAATATTTGTTCACATTATATAGTGTATCTTTCTGTGTTGGCGCTGCATAATCGAAAATCTATAGCCCCCATATGTGATAGCAATAAAGTTTGGTGGGAAAAAAAGGGTAATAATAAATGTTTCCTAATATAATGTAAAAAAAACTTATTTTTTTCAAAATTTTCTGTAATTTTTCATAATTATAGTAAAAAAATAAAAACCCCAGTAGTGTTTAAATACCACCAAAATAAAGCTCTATCTGTCCCCAAAAAATGGTATAAAATTCATTTCTGTACAGCATTGCATGACAAAGTCAAAGTACCGCAGCCCTGAATACTGAAAAATGGCCTGGCCAGGAAGGGGGTCTAAACACCTGGTCTTGAAGTGGTTAACATTGGTTATCTCACTGCAACAGTCCTGCAGAGTTTTGTTATGTAAACACAAGTCTCTGCTTCTGTGTAATGTAGATGCTAGTCTCAGGAATTATTGCAGTGCCCCCTCCCAGGCTCAGGGCCATGACATTTTCATTGCCTGTTCCTGTCTCTGACTTGCCAGAGAGTGAGTATGCGGTTTGTCAGGCCCGTTTCTGTTTATCCCTCTTGGCCGTACCCTGTGCTAAATCTTACTGGTTCTGCCCTGTACTCCAGTCTGGCTGCCATATCTGACTCCTCTGGGATGAACTTGGTATCTTTCCAATGGAAACAGTGGGCAAATGGCTGATACACCCCACCCTCATTGTCCCGCCTGTGCGTAAAACAATTTGTACCTCCTCCCGGTTTCTCAGAATCTGCAGTGAAAATCTTGAATGAACAGGCTGTGATGTAAATTACAGCCTGTTCATTCATAACTGGGGACACATAGTACTATGTGTCCCCAGTTATTTACAAACACTGGAGTGATCAGACGATCGCTCCAGTGTTTGTCCTTCACACACGGAGGATCGGTAAATATCAATTATATTTACCGATCCCCCGCTCTGCCACGCACGATCTCTCACCCGCTCGGCCGTCCTGACAGCTGCGGGCGCAGCTTCTCTCCCCCTCACCGCTCGGCCATCCTGACAGCAGGAAGCGCTTCTTCCTGTGCCCCCCCGGAGGGGTGTGGGGGGG